GCTGAGTGCAGTTAAAAAAACCCTCATGATATTACCAGCTTGCAGGAGGGTTCTCTCATGTGTCAGTACTAGCAGTGCAAAGTTCAATGGGGCAAACCACAATGAACTCTTTGGTTGTCCTGTCTTCTAGCTCGGTGTAGTCCAGCCCTGGCTGCGGGTGTAAGGGGACATTTTCAAATCCAATCTTACTAGTCCTTTTTGTTTGTTTTTTTGTTTGTTTTGTTTTTGTTTTTCAATGGGAAAATCAAAGAGCAGCAGTTAAGAATCAGCTCCCAATATACCTTTGCACATTAATGTGACCCAGAAGTCACAGAACAGAAAGCCAGCTGCAGACAAGACCAACTCAGGATTTGCGGTGCTAGCAGTGACACAAATATGCTAGCAGTGAGAAAGCAGGTGTGTAAGTTTTGGCACAGGGCAGCGCAGGCATGCTTGTATCCAACAGGGTCCTGCAGAAAATCAGAGTATTTCTGTGCTAGCAGTAAGGTTCAGAACAGAACCATCCTGCTACTGAATAAACAAGTCTTTTTATTTTGATGTGCTGGTAGTGACGAGTTTGTGCTTGTGGAGCTACAAGTAAATAAGAGCAGTGCATGAATCTGAGATATCTGTCAACACAGACTATATGAATATGCATTTCTCCAAGAACATCCCTGTTGCTTCAAGAGACACAAATATAAGCTTTTAGGACATGCATGTAAAATACAGCAATTATTGCAGTTGGTAGCCTGTATCTGCTAAAAACCTGCAGGATTATCAAACTGTATTCCTCTCCATTGTATCAATCCAATGAAATCCCTCACTTTCCATTATAAGAGTACATCAACACATCATCAAAATGTGTTCCCTCCTACGTGTTAAAAGTCACTGCACCAAAACTGGGTAAACTGTGCTCCAGTTTCAGCAGGTGAAACACTATTTACTCCACAGCAGAGCTCAGCTCCTAGTATATACACGAAAAAATTCCAATAATGCTAAATTTCCACTTTTATCATGCAAGAGAATGAACTGACTGAATGGCAAAGCCATGCAGAACAGCCTCCCACCCACCAGACTTTCTAGCAGCAGAATAAACAGAATTTTATTCCAAGGCCGTGGGCCAGATACAAGTGTGGCATGTCAGCCTGATGAG